AGGCAGCAGCCACGCAGACTCGTTCAGATTCGAAGCGCGTTTTGAAGGTTCGTACGTACTACATTGCAGATGCGCCGGTTCTCACATCGGCGTGGGAGGAGGAAAAAGAGGAACGCGCCCACAGAAAACAACACTCATTGTGTGGGACAGTGGTGTACGAGAGCCCGACAAGAGGGTCAACGCGTTTCGGTTGTCCGTCGATATGTTTCGCGCGCGTTTGATGGCTTCGTGATAGCGAGAGCCGCAACATCCGTATGCACGATGAAATTGGTGCACGCGCTGAAGAACTTGCAGAGGCCGTCTTATGAGAGCTTTACATCGCGGGGATTCCGTACATTCAGTGTGTTTTCGATGTCCGGAAATGGGGTCGTTGGGCAGTGATACTCGCCTATAGTAAACGTGTAGTAAAAAAAAAAAGTGTCCCAATTTATTCTGTGCATACGTCGGCGGATTCTCTTGTGTCGACTCACTCGGACTCAGATCGCGCCGTAGGTTGAGCATGAATCATTAGTATTTTGGTGAGTTCGAATCCGAGTGAGCCCAGCTGAGAAAAATTATGGTGAGTTTGAGTGAGTCCAAAGCACAATATAGATTCTTAAGCGAGTTTGAGTGAGTTCCACTCACTCAGACTAGCATACAGCATTACGAAAAATCTGGACACTGCCTTAACAGGAACTCGGATTCCATCATCGTAAAAAAAGAGAGAAAAGGTTATCGAAAAGAAAAAGGCCTGCCCATCAAATCTTCCTGCATACAATCTAGTACCTGCATGTCGAATCCAACTTCGGGTCCACTGCCTGAAGTAGACGCTGTAGCGCGTTGCGGCACATTAATAATAAAGACCACCATATTTCTTCGTTGTGAACAGGAGACCCGTATTGGTGGCCGAAACGCCAAAATCTCTTGTCTTGCGTTTCTTTTTAGTTGACTAACGTACGTTCTTCAACCGTGTGTTTAATATTACGTTTAATTGAAACTTTAAATATTTAATGAATGCGCAAGGCGATAACAGTAACCGCACGTAGAATGAGAACCAGGATTCTCTCTCGGAGGAGAACTCTGTGTTGCCTAATTTTCATGGCACAAGCGATCTACATTGTTTACTGTGTTAGTTGGCAATTTCGCTGTTGAAAAATGTCGGCTCACATATAGTAGGAGGTAAATAAATAAATACATCAATGAATAAATACACTAATGTTCACTTGACATGTTCGCTGAATGTTTTTGTCCTTTTCTTTTTTTTTGCAGGTAAGCAATGTCCTCCGATTGCTGCTTCGTGCAAGCGGGGTGGGCTTGCCTCACCACTGGCCGAGCTTTAAGTGGCCTGGCGAGTGGAGTGGAATGTGCGCCCAAGGGAAGGGACCGCCACCCACTCCACAGGTACGTGCGCGATTGGGATTACGATGAAAAATCTCGAGGCGTTTCTAATCTTTCATTGTGTGTCTATTAGTTTAACTAGCACGTCGGTGTTCATTTGCCATGGTGTATTCCTTGGGGTTAAGTTGTGTTCGCATGCTGTCAGAGTGAATATCGCAGGCCACGTAGAAAGAAACACGTAGTTCAGATCTGGTCCGCCAGCTGCTTACAGTCTTTCAGTGAACTCAGCAAATTAATTATTCTTAATTATTCTGACTGTTAATTGGCCTTACTTCAGGCAAAGCTCTGCTCCGATATCGTATGTATCCGCCATAGCTCTTAACTTGAAGCAGATACATTGATGTAAGCTTTTAGAAGACATTGTATTACTCTCCTTAAAACCGGAAGTACGCGCTCGGCCGGATGTGCCTAGAGGGTCTCGCTGCTCGGGATACTAAAAAAAATGGCATTCTTCTCGTAAAACCCTAATGAGAGCGATTGAAATGCATACGTTTATGTAGAAATAAAACAAAAAGCCAGGGTTGGGTTTTTTATTCTGCCTAGCAAAACCTCCCTGTGAATGATCGCTTACGCGCGTATCCTGTGAAAACCCGTATGTCCCAATTGATCATGGCAAGAGTACAAAGGGGGTATCCATAATGAATTGTATTTCCAACATTTAATTAAAGCATTTCCCTCTTTCTTTACAAAATTATAGCGTCGAGAAAGTGCAGTAGCAGTCATTCAGAAGAAACTGTTCTGAGCGAGGTATTATCAATACGTATTCATTACATCGTCTTCATTGGTTGTGGGGACTTGGCTTGACTGTGTGGTCGTTTCACCGTGCTTTCAGGGCTAACATAGGTCACGTTACCTGTTGCGACACAAGTGGTGGAGGTGCTGCGTATATGAATGCATCTTAATTCGAGGAATAGAATCACAAAGTATGTATACAAACACTTCAAACTGCAGTCCTCGGCGTTAACTACAATGCAAGGAAAAAAAAAGGTCATAATTACTTCGTAATATGATAATAACGTGAAAATGACAAATAGTTTGAAGGAGACAGTGGCGAAAATTACTTTCACGCAAGTGACAGTAAGAACGCGTCACCTGATAATAAGGTTCTTAGCAACAGTTGTTG